GCCAACTCAGTTTGACATGAGAACTAGGCTATAAGTCTAAAGACTCTGACAATCAGACAATTACTATTGGGAATAGTATAATTTCTAGTTAGCTATATTGCAATTGCCGAAGAGAGTGAGGTAATTTTCTGAGTCTCTAGGTATTTGCACCTTTGACAAACACTAGACATTGCAAATTACAATAAGAGAAATACATAGTTGTCTGATAGATAGATGTAGTCCGTGAATACTCAGATGCAAAATATAAATATCAAAGTGCCTCTTAAGCTTTTAAACATCATCAAGAAACGGAGAAGAGACCTTAACTATATAACTTTAGTTTACGATTCTATTTTATTTTACCAATTTTAATTCACTCTTAGTAATTATAAATGAATCGAGTGAATTTGAGCCTTCCTGGACAATCTGTTTCTACAGAAATAAATCTTGATTGACCTAGACAACTCTGAAGTCTATCAGGTTGTCTCCGCCTAACACAGGAATAATGGCTAGTACAATATTCCCCTAAGAGAGTACCTCCACCAGACCCTAAGAGTTCTCAGTGTCTAGCCCACCCCCTCCAACCGAGACCATCATTGCAACTGATATGACTGAGGGGACCGTTGAAGAAGGAATAACTATAGAAGCATTAGCTGCCAATATCATAACCAAACTACGAACTGTATCATGTTCAGAGGCCAGGGCAGCCAACAAGGTAGAAGAATCTCTCTTAGCACAATGAAGTCACCGAGAGAGGGCAGAGATGTGATGCTGAAGGCCAGAGACTTTGGCCTCCAGGGTGAAGTTCTTCTCTACGACACAAGATAAAACAACCAATGAATGGAGAGCCAACATGGCAGACGAGATAGAGGCTCGCTTTACTATCATGACTATGAGGAGGCGATCGAAGTGAACAATTGTAAAGATATATAAGAGGAAGTAAAAACCTCCAGCAAACGTAGAGGAGGAGGAATAAGAATGATGTCTAAAAAGGTGATTGAAGTTAAAGACTTGAAGCCTATCATGAAATAAAAATCAAGGGCTCTGATTAATCGAGACCAAACCTTCATGTTCTGACACAGGGTGAAAGAAGGAAGAGGAAAGTACTTAGAACAAAGTGTGAAAATCCTATCCTCCTTGGCTGTACTGGCCTTCTTATATAATGCTCTTTCCACTTCTAGTCATATGACCCCAACTGGTCACATGCACAAAATCAAATCATAACAAACTAGTCATTTGACCAAAGTAGTCACATACATAAAACCCATGACCTCATGCTAAGATCATGTGCGAAAACCCTTAAACCAATCATAATGAAATAAGCAAGTCATATTACCCAAAGTCATCATATGCATAAAACCCATGATCCCATAACAAGGTCATGTGTGAAACATAAATCATATACGCAAGGCATACCCACAAGGTTTACTTGCAAGGCACACTCGCCCGGCCCATATCTCATGACTTATAATCGAGTCATATGTGTAACATAACAAATCATAATATAAACTAGTCATATTACTTGAATAAGTCATATGCATAAAATCATAACATGCCTATAACTCATAACTATAAGTCATGTGAAAATTCTTTCCCTGCTAAGTCATATTCATGACAATTGTCTAGAAAGGCTCAAAATATATACTTGTTTTATTTATGACTACTAGGAATAAGGTGAAGTAGGTAAAGTAGAATAAAAACGTAAGAACAATATTATATTGTTAAGGTCTCTTCTCTATTGCCTGATGATATCTAAAAGCTTGCAAGGCACTTCGTTATTTATATTCTACATCTGAGTGTTCACGGACTACATCTATCTATTATACAAACTATATACCTCTCTGGTTATAACTTGCAATGTTGGGTATTCTCTAAAGATATAAACACCTGGAGACTCTGAAAACCACTACATCCTCTTCAGTAATTAGAGTATTGGTAACTAGGAACTATATCATTCCCAATAGTAATTGTCCAATCTTTAGAGTCATTAGACTTATGACCTAGTTCTCAAGTTAAACTGAGTTGGCCTCAATTATCTCCCTTATCAATAAAATCATCAGTTTCATCTGTGGGTTATATTCCTAGAGGTAGTTGAAATTTCAATCTTCCTAGGTCACCAGACTTTTAATCTCTATAACTCTGCATTCAATAAATGGATATCTTCCGGATATCTTTCAACTAATTCGTGGGAAGCCATTCTATCCAATTGGCAGATAATCCCTCCATCAACAACTCTTAGTTTCTCTGGTTTGCAGGATTTCAGTTGCTGTTCTAGTGTTAAGAATTATTCCAACAACTGTAACGCATTCCTAGGCCCAGTTGTAACACTCCGTGAAAAATATTGACTTCTGTGGTAGTATTTCTCAAAGTTCTAGATACTTGTAGTTATCATAGGGTGGGTGCAAATGTATTGACCTCTTGTAAAGATTCTTTAATATTCAATACTATCTCTTTATATGAAAACATCCTGTTACCTATGGCTTTGCCAAAGTTGTCATGACTTTGAAGCCCAATAACACTCTGAGTAGTTGGCAGGCTTACTCATATTACTTCTCAGACTTAGTCAAAGGTCCTCCTTCATATATCCTACCAGCAGAATCTAGTCAGACTAACGACAGCGATGTATACGGTATTATTCTTTCACCTTAAATTCTGTAACCCTATAGTTACAGGATGCAATTGAGATAAGTACATACAATGATGTGCGGGCCTGTAAGGAGGCTGGAGGAGGATGTTGGAGACTAGAGATTCTAATTCTGAGTGGAGTTATCCTGCTTAGAGTGGTTCCTAGATATCAAATCCCAGTATTCCAAACATAGAATTAGCTTCCACCTAACGATAAAGGAGAATATTAAGGAGTATCTTGAGTGGGATTAGTCTTTTTTTTATCATTAACAATGCTAAGACTCATTTGCCTTTTAGGAGATGGCTCAGAAGTCAGGAAATTACTCTTATGGAAATTCCAGCCTATTTACCAGATCTCAATCCAATTAAACATATTTGGACTCTGGTGAAAAATAAGCTTCAAAGGCATTATCCTGACCTATATCTCATGAAGGGTTCTGACAATGAGGTCAAAAAAGCTATTGAGTAAGCTATTACTACTTGTTGGAAACTTCTTGACCTAAAGATTTTTGATTCTCTAGTAGGTTCAGTAGTGGATAGAGTTAAAGCAATTATTAAAACAGATGAATGGTACATTAAATATTGATTTCTACTATGTATTTACATTTTTTCAACTTTTTTTGTTATTGTGATATTGAGGTTGGTAAGGGGGTAGTTGCTGTACGATCAAGTTATTTTTCTGTTTGGTAAATGTAGTAGGTTAATTTTGTTAATGAACACTACTAAACAATTATGAGAAAGATAGATATCCAGCTCTGTTTATGGCACTATGAGGATGAAATAATAAGTCCTAGATAAATTAAAGGTAAAAAAGGTGTTAGTTAAAACTACTGGTTTGGTTAAAGCATTATTTATTTCAATGGACTATATGTCATGAAGAGCTCCGTTGGATAGAGGTCACCGTAGAGGAAAATAGTTAGTTGAGGGATTGGATACCTTCTTCTCAAAGAGGGATCATGTCAAGTTTACCTCCTAGGTTGCTAACATATTTGAATTCTTCAATGATATGAAATTACAGGCAACTGTGATAACTAGAAGAACTTTAATGCTTTGTTGGTATCACGCTAGACATCAGGGCTTTCCAATTGGAATTGAGGAGATCGTACAAGGAGAGGGGGTGGGAAGAAAAAAGAAAGATTTCTGGATAGTGGACTTTTAGAGCTTTAATGGCTAAGTCCCCAAAAGGATGTAGTCGTCTTCCTCTTTCTGCGACAATGTCGTTGGGAGGTGCAATTCGACGTTCGATATCGTATATACTCCAAGCACCGCACCCACAGTCCCACAACCACTACCACGAGTCGCAGTAGAGAGACCTTACGAAAGCCGGCTTGTGGGAAAGAAGAGAAAGAAGAAGAAAAGAAGAGTTCCTGGACTAGAGGAGGATAATAAACTTGCGAGTTTTTATTTGAATGCCCGGCCTTCCTTAACGTAATGCCTTACTACAGTAGTATACCATCCTACCAGTAATTCTATGACACTACCGGCAAGCAAGCCAGAAACACCAACGCACACACGGCAGGGATGGATACCACTAAATTATATAAAACTCTAGAGATGAGCAAAGCTAACTGTGAGACAACAACTGCTTTATCCATAACCGGAAGAGTACAGTACAGTACAGTACAGGTACAGTACCCAAGAAAATCTGCCTACAACGACGTTCCAGCCACCATTCATTACCGGTACTCCGCGCATAGCACTACACGGTTTCGCCTTTAAAGTAGTACTGTACTGTACTGTACTGCGCTTGCCCGAGACACTCTTTTTTTTCCCCCCCGCTTTCCATGCCCACTATGATACCATAACCATATACACCGCGCACAGTGCAGTGCTGTCCTGCACGGTACAGCACAGCACACCGCTTATTCCCCGCACCCGCAATCATTTCCAACCCTTTTATAACACCCGCTTAGCATATGCATAAGCATAAGCGGTCATCTCGCACAACAAAACGGCCCCCAGTACGGTATATATACAAAACGGGTTTATAGGATTGGTGCAGGGCAGGATGGGATGGGATAAAACTCAACCATATATAGCGTCAGCTGTCCATATATCCATCTTAGCTGCTTTGTAAAAGATGGAGTGTTCTCTCTTTGTGGTGTCGAGGCTTTGTCAAGAAATACTCTTTTTTTTTTCCCTTGTTTGGTAATCTTTATCCTGTTCGGTAATTGGGTATGAGCATACGGCACCCGTACTGCGTGGGGGTGTGTAAAACTCAATCGTATATTTCATAAATACAATACCTGCCTCACACACTTCCTCATTCACTACCGAACGTGCAATTACCAAGTTCCAACAAAAAGACATTAAATCCGCAGCTATTTATCACCCCAACGAGCTATCTAGCTAGCTACCGATAGCGTATTGCTACGTATAGTATGATACCAGTACACTTATCCTTATAAGCCAGAATAAATCTTCCACCACTCGTATCCTACCCTATCCTATCCTATCTTATAATAACATATAATACCACTGACGCATCCTATCCAAAGTCGGAATGAAGGGGGAAAAAAAGTGAAAATAATAAAGAATCGCCCGACCAACCAACCTCCTACCGGGGGGTTGCGTCACAATATCAAGGGATAGAGAAAGGGGAAAAAGAGATCATTACAGGTCAAATACTCCACTCAATCCATTCCGCGAAAACTTCAGGGAATGGAGCTGCGTGGGTTTGAATGGAATGGAGTAGTAGGCAGGAGAAGGTAGATATGTCACATACCAAATATGAATGGAATGGAAAAGACATAAATAAAGAGTACACATTTCCCAGAAGAAAAACTCTGACATTTGACGAGTAGCAGGCGGAATATTTGCGGCACAAAGCAGAAAGAAAGAAGGGAGCGAGGAGACAAAGAAAAGTAAAAAGGAAAAAAATCCGATAAGCGGAATTTTTTAATTTTTAATTTTTTAGAAAATTTTATATAAAACCCGAATACGCTAGCCGGAGGGGAGAGGGGACTAAAGGACAAAGAAACAGGAAAGGTATGACAACGGGGATATTATACCATGTCGACATAACAGGACTACGAGAAAGTCCTAATCCGAGCTCTTTCTCCTCTTACGAGGAGCCTTTTTTTTAGGAGTAACCTCATCGGAGGCTTCCTCCTCTTCAACCTCCACGACCTTCTTGCGACCGGCACGCTTTCTCTTAGTTGGTTCAGCCTTGGCTTTTGCACCGACAACGGCAGGGGCGGCGGCAGTGGAGGTGCCGGAGACGGCAATGGAGTTGAGTGCCTTTTTGAGATTGCCGTTGGTGGCGGCAGCCTTCTTAGACCTAGGAGTCCCCCTCTTGCGAGGGGGGGGAGTCGGGGATCTAACGTCTTCCTCCGGCTCTTCCTCTAGCTCCTCCTCCTCTTCCTCGTCTTCTTCCACATCCTCGGCAGTCAATTCAGCCCTATCGCTTTCTGCCTCTGACTCTTGAACATCCTCCAATTCGGCGTTAACAGGAGTAAAGGTTGCAGAAGATTCGCCAGCTTGAGGAGCCTTAGTGGCCTTATAGAGGGCCATATCCTTCGCGTACACCTCACGGTTTTTCTGGTAGAGGTCTTGCCAGGCCTGCGTAATGCATTAATCAACAATTAGCCAATTCAGTATCCTCAGCATGGACATGCGATCTCACGTACTTTCTTCTGATCCTCCGGAGTCTCAGACCAACGCTTAGTGAGCTCAGCTAAAATATCTTTGTGCGTGGCATTCGGTCCCAGGTCCGCCTTCACGGTATCTCTGCCCTGATGACAGAACAACAGATAAGCAGTCATAGGTCTCTTCGGCATCGCGGGATCGCGCTTTGCGCGTTTAGCTCTCTTTTTAGGACCTTCCGGCTCCTCCGTAGTGCTACGTTGAAGGGCAATCTGGGACGGTTGCTCTGTTCCAGAGCCGATGAAAATATCGAAAAAAGCTAATCCTGTCCGAGACGCCTCATCGGCGGCATTGCGCAACAAAGTCATCGCAGTAACAAACTAGTAGCCATGTTAGCGACAAGATCCTGAACAGGTCTTCATTCGAAACAGCTACTGCGGAGGCGACAGTAGCGCCGTGATGTTCACGACAATGACGACGACAGCACAGAAGCCGATCGCAGGGTGATCATAACAAGAGATATGTAAGAGAATGTGTCGGGACTTCAGAGTCTGGAACCCAGTACCGTATGGGTGGTGAGAAAAAGAGTATCGGAAATGAAATGCATCTCAGTCGCACCGACAGATAGATATCATTGCTCCTGCGCCAGAAAAAGGGAAGAGGAGAGGGGTAGGAATGGGATATATGGAAGTGGAAAGGGATGAAATAAACATGAATGCTTAACAAATGAAAGGGAATAAGGCTTACTGCATCGCGTTTGCGACGGAGTTCATCGATATCGATCACTGCCGGCGCGATGGCTTTTTCCTTACCAGGCCTAGCCATATCGTTCGATTAAAAGAGAGAGAGGTTATCGAGAGCGCGTTATATTTTCTATCCCCTCAATCGGATTAGAAGGCGTTATTTATTTTGACTCAAGGGGGTTTTTGTGGTAGACAGCAACTAACTTATCGGAGTGCTGTACTGTACGAGTACAGTTGTGGTTGTTGCTGTGGGAGGGGGATTTGTTTTAGAGGGAGTGGGGAGGCTTGAAGAGAGAGCTTTGGTACGGCGAAGAAGAAGAGGGGGGCGAAAAAGCGGTCGGGTGGGTGGGTAGTTGGGAAATCTCAACCAAAACTGACTCGAGACAGCTCACGCTTTCAAGAACAGAAAGTGGGAGGTCGGGAGGGAAATGTGTGTGTGAGATGGTGGAAGGAAGGAAGGAAGGGAGAGGAAGGCTGGAAAGATTGGGCTGGAATAAATGAGAAAGGATGATGGTGGCACTGTGTCCACTACCGTATCGACACCCCAAATGGTTACTTATCGGCAATAGAGTGCCCGAAAAATGGCAACCATTGTTGACCCTTAGCCCAAGGTAGCCTGAAATTTGTGCGCGTCGCTGCCTACACCTCAGCCAGTGGTTGGTTCACAGTGCGAGCAGCACACTTTTAACATGGCATAACAGATCATGTCTATCGACCACATTACCACCTCACCATTCTCACCCTCTCCAATGAATGACCTGTACAGTACACTACCGATTTCTCTCTTCATATTTACAGAGTTTGTATTCCTCCCTCACCACCTCTTTTGTAGAGTTGTTTTTCTTGGCACGGTACTGTACAGTACTATACAGAGGTCAGAGGTTCTTCAATGGTAAGGGAATGTGACAAAAGATATCGTAGTCAACTCGGTATTCGGGTTGGTTGCACCGTTGCCTCGAATGCCTCCCCACTTCCCACTGTATCACACCAACAATCTCGATTCAAGGCACTTTGGCTTCCGCTGCCTACTTTCAAGCATAACAAATGCACTGCCATTTTTCGAGTATCTATCTTCCTCATTACCATACCATACTCCTGTATTCCTCTATGATAACACCAACGCAGGGTGTGCGCGGTAGTGGAAAAAAAAAAAAGAAAAAAAAAAATCCCCACACGACCTCCAATTGGTGAACTTGATCAATCTTCATTGAAATTCATCGCTAGACTTCAAAACGGTTATGCTTTTTCTCCCCTTCTCTCCAAATTTCATTCCGCTACCATGCTCGAGTACTATATCGTAATACGTTTGATAAATCCCATATAATAAATAGAGCATTATCGAGTGCCGGTAGTCCTCTTTTTTTTTTTTTTTTTTTCGTCAATACAAGATTGTCGGTATGATAATATAAGGGAGTAATTATCATTATACCTCCATTATTACTCATCCACCCATCTATTTATCTATTTATATATGGCAACTGCGTTCACAAAACATTGGTTAAGAAGAAAGAGAGAAAGAGTCAGAAAATACAATATCAGAGAGCACAGGATGAAAGCGACGGGAATAGTGTACAGGAAGAGAATATTACCGGTAACTAGTACCAGTCATACCAAATCACTCGACATCACTGCACACTTACCCGATGAGCCCTGCGCACATCTCAGCTCCCCAAGCGCCGTAATTGGCACTACCCCGATAACCATTTATAAAATAAAATAAAAACACTATCATACTGGGTGACTCGGGTACGGTACAGCGGTTGACATTCGTTTTACGTTTCCCAACACTCATCATCGATCTCATCGCGGCAAAAGCTAGCGGAGTACCGTTGGGAGTATGATACACGCAACTTGACGGTTGAGTTTCCAACACTTTTTGTATCTTCACACAGAGTCACTTCTGGGACACGACACGATCGTGCCGCACGAGCATTCGGGAGGGGGAGATGTTTTTATTTTCTTTCCTCTTTTCTAACCTCTCGAACTGTTTAAGTGTAAAGGAGGAAAGCATGTATAGGTATCAGGACCAAGCTATATGGGATGTTTTGGGTTACAGAGCTTGTATCGGTACTCAGCTATCAGGTATGATACCCGTTCCGAGCAGTGGTAGTGGTGGCCTGAAGGAGCGAAGCGGGCAAGTTGTAATAGGATCGAGTAACACCTACACATATATGCTATGCACAGCAGAGATACAGTACGATATTTTGCTGATTCCCGTACTAACACAAATCACTCAATTTACTTACCATACTTGCTTACCTACTGTTCCCCAGATATGAACTCTGTCTCTCCACGTCACGCAAGTGTGTATTAATTTTAGTAGCATATCCAAACACGTGTCATGCAAGTTTTCTTTATTTCTTGTCCGGGGACAAAATTAACTAGCTCTCAATGGCAATGGCAACGCTCCCCTCCTCATCACCCTGCTCCCTCAACACTTCCTAAAGAAATTGTTCTACACCAACCAAAACTAAACCAATTTACTTAAATTTTTTTTTTCAATAAACTATGCCTCCTATTCTTCTCAGTCATGCCAAACAGCCTATTCCCTCCAAGCACCTTTCTGAGTTTACAAGGGGACGAATCCTCGGGTTACGCGAGCCTCAGATGACAAATCACCAAATTTCCCACTACCTTGACATTCCTCTCAGTACTGTTAAAAGCACATTTGCAAAGAGAGATCAAGAGGGCAAGGAGAATGAAGGTAGAGGAAGACATCCTAAAACTACCAAGTTGCAGGATGATGCTATGGTAGAGGAAGCTCTCAAAAATCGCCATACCAGCTACTCTGAGATTGCTGAGAGAGTGGCTCCCAATGTTTCTGCTAAGACTGTGAAGAGAAGACTTGCACAAAAGCTTCATAAAAAGTGGATGGCATAAGAGAGGATTCATTTAGATGAGGATCTAGCTCAAAAGAGATTGGAATGAGCATTAGCCCATAGGAATTGGACAAGGCAGATGTGGAGAAGGAAGGCAATGTGGGGGGATGAGGTAGCTGTGGAGAGGGGAGGAGGAAAGAGAAGAAAATGGGTAGTTAGATGTCCATGTTAGGAATACCGAGATCCGATACCTAGGAACCACCCTAGGTAGGGTAACCTCTCCCGAAATCGAAATCTCAGGTCTCCAACACCCCCCTCCAGCCCCCTTACGGGGCCCGCGCGTCATCATACATATCGATCTAAGTTACGTCCTGTGAGTATTATACCACAGAATCGAAGGTGTTAAAATAACACCATATACGTCGCTGCCGTCTGTCCGACTGGATCCTGTTCACAGGATATATAAGAGGGGACCTTCGGCTAGGTCTGGGAAGTATAACGGAGTGAATCCGTCAACTACCCAGAAAGTTACTAGTCTTCAAGAATGAGATATCTTTGGCATAGGCCACAAGTAACGGGACGTTTTCGTGCAAAGAGATGATGATGAATAGTAAAGGATCTTAATGAAAGACCAATACATTCACATCCATCCTATGATAACCAGAAGAGTCTGGAACTCCTGAGAATACTACCATCGAACCCAATGGAGTTCAAGGAATGTTACAACTAGGTTCCGGTACATACTGCAACCGAGGGGGTGACTCCCAAACCGGTGACAGTAACCAGAATCCTATTACCCACTGCAACCAAGAGTTACCGACCGAGGGATTATCTACCAACCCTATGGGAAGGCTTCCTGCAGGTAAGTAGGAAGTCCTCCGGAAAAGATCTATCAGTTGGGTATGGAGTTATGAAGAGTTGAAGTTAGATGACCTAGAAAGTCGGTAATAACAACTATCTTCGCAGATGCAACCCACAGACAAAACTGGTCATTTCGTCGACAAGGGAGACGATTGGAGCCAACACAGTTCGACTTGAGAATTGGGCCATTTGTCTAAAAAGACTCTCACCATCGGATAATTACTATTGGAAACAGCATGACTTCCAAATAGTCATATTATAATTATCAAAGAGGGTGTGATGATTTTCAGGGTCTCCAGGTGTTCGCACCTTGGAAGAAAACCCGACGTTGCGAGCTATATTGGAAAAAGGTACATGGTTGTATGTTAGTTAGATGTAGTCCGCGAACACTCAGACGCGGAATATAAATATCGAAGTGCCTCCCAAGCTTTAGACATCATCAAGCAACGGAGAAGAGACCTTAACAATATAATATTGTTCTTACGATTTTACTTTACTTTACCCTACTTTACTTCGCTCTTAGTAGTCATAAACGAAACAAGTGAAGTCCGAGCCTTCCTAGACAATCTCCGTCTGTAAAAACGAATCTCGATCTGCCTAGACAACTCTGAAGTCTATCAGGTTGTCTCCGCCTAACAGTCCAAAAGAAAAATGGAATAAGGATTGTGTTGAACCTACTGCTAGGAAAGGAGAGAGAAAGATTAGTCAGATGATGACTGGTTGTTTCTATGGTCAAACTCATGGTCTTTTTTTACCTGTTTTTCCTGATCCTACTTCTGCTGGAGGTGGAGTGACTGGAAAGTCAATTATTGATGTTTACGATCAATATGACTTTGTAGGGATATGGGAGGATATCAAGGAGCATGTTGGAGAGGAAGAGGTATTTTTGATCATTGACAATGCTAAGACTCACTTGCCTTTCAGGAGATGGCTCAGGAGAAATGGAATTTCTCTGATGGAAATTCCTCCCTATTCACCAGACCTCAATCCAATTGAAAATGTTTGGTCTCTTGTGAAAGACAAGCTTCATAAGCACTATCCTGAGCTGTTTCTCCTGAAGGGCCCTGTCAATGAGATCAAAAAAATTATAGAGGAGGCTATCACTCATTGTTAGGAACTTCTGGACCCAAAGGTTTTTGATACTTTGGCAGGATCAATGGTGGATAGGGTGGAAGCAATTATTAAGGCTGATGGATGGTATACTAAATATTAATTTCTACTATGTATTTATATTTTTTAATTTTCTTTTGGGTTTTCATGATAGTGGGTTGGTGGGGGAGTGTGGTTGTCATCACCGAAGATTTTCCGGCCGTTGACAGCTAGTTAATTTTGTCCCCGGACAATCCTTCCCGCCACCTATCTACTCGAGTGCGGTACAGAGCCTTCTACCGTCGGACGGGATATTTGGAAAAAGGTGGTGGATGAATCGCTCTTGTGCGCTACCCGTGTCGGTCGGTTGCGCGGTGGAATAGCCTATCATTCCACAAGATGGTAGACACTGTTGCACCAGAGAGCTTCGGTTAGGGAACACATGTTGTGGACGGTAGGTGAATCCCGGCCCAACGGTGAAGACGATATACAGCACGCGGTAAAAATTGAAAAGAGGCATGCTGACCTCTCAGGAGAGGGAAGCCGCGATCTCACCGATTACCAATAATACTCGAATACCGACCGATTTACTGCGGTACTCTGTCCTCCCATCGTCCGGGATCCTATCCGCCACAAACGACATCATGGCTCCCGACGGCCGAAACCTGCCCTTGCGGCCAATCCCATCCGGAATTTCTAAATTGGGAATACACCCCCTTCTTGAGGAGCTGTGATACAAGTACGGCTTCCTCTGGTGTAACTATCGGGGCAGTAGGCTAGGACTCATTTATTCTTTTCTGTCTTCACCTACGAGTACCGTAGAGTTGTTGGGAAGTCGGTGTCATTGTCGGAGTTGGAATTGAGGATGCAAATCGGTATCGAACAGCACACCGCAACGTGATTCCCGTCATTGATCTCGAACCCCCCGGATACGTACTTGTATACGGTAGTAGGATCAAAGTCATTACCGGTAATCTTCAAATGGTCTTCCCGAATGCCGATAGTTCGGTATGCCAGTGTTTCCCGAGAGCTTCGAGCGGAGGGTAGGTTTTGTGGGGCCGGCATTATGCTTGGGCGCAGTTCCCGACCCCAAGGGTCCGACAATAGACTACGATACCAATTTAGCTCAACTCATGGACCCCACCGCCCAACGAGTGATTCCCCATGAAAGCATTAGCGTAAGGCTGCCCACCACCAACCTACCCACCGTATGATACTTACTGTATCGATCGTACATAACCCAGGGAAAAGGAAGAGACCGGGCACGCATCACGGCACGCTAGGATTTCTGAAACGTCCATGATGTTTTCTAGCCGCTGGGAAGAAAGGCACTTTTGCCATTTCCGCCCATCACCCAACCGCACTTTTGTTTCTGACTGTACCCATCCCGATACCAAGCTTTCCCTCGCCCCCCACACCCCGGACACAACCGGAGCCTCGCAAGTACCCAGATTGGATTCGGGGAATAATTAAGGTATGATGGTGTGCGACAAGTTTGGGTTTTTTTAGAATGTTCTTTCTGGGCTTATTTGTGGACAGGTGTCATGGATCTACTAGTACTGAGTATTGGCGGGGCGCGGCTCTGGGAGAGGCAATGCGGGTGTGGGTGGTGATATCATATCTACTCGAGTACCGTGCTCCAGAGTTGACTGCGATACCGGTAGAGTGATAGAGTAAGGGTGCATAATGTGGGAGGGAATTGCTGCGGAGAGCGGTAGGGTACTTTACTAGGACGGTACACTTGCTCGAGCAGATGACATATGGTAGCCTTTTTATCGCACGAACGACTGGATGGGTTTTAGATTTCCAAGAGGAAGGGGGGGGAGAGGAGAAACAAAGTCGTGTGGGGCCATGTAGGATTGGGAAATTTGGCTTTTTTGTGAGCAACATACCGGTACAGTACCAGTGCATATATGCTAGTTCCGGTACGAGTTACTTGTACTCGTACATGCGCGAATCAATTGAGGGCGGAGCAATAGTGCTTTTGCGCGGGGAAACATGCTTTGTGGTCCTACTTGTAGATTTGGATGCCGCACATACTGTACAGTACCATAAGGTATGGTTGCGTGAGAAAATGGTTGGAGTCCAGCAGGCAGCAAGCAACTAAGCAAGCCATCAACTAAGACAATATTGAGAAGAAGAAAAGAAAAGAAAAAAAACTCGGATAAACCAACGACCAGAAATTTAGCGATACGGTAGACCAGAAGTACCGTATTGTACTGTACTGTACCAGATAAACCCCGTAACGAGGCTAACAATGCATTCCATCCAAGCTTGGCCCACCAGGAATTTTTCACCTCCAGAAGACAAGGTGTTGAGGCACGAATGCGAGTCTCAGACATGATGACCCCTCTTACTCCTGTCATACGGCAGCGTAGCGATAACCCTAACGGGGGGGGAGGGGGAACTGTAACAAGCAGGAGAGAACAACAAGAAAGAGAAGAAACCTGTCGTCGCGAAAGCTGGTGCAGTCAAAGAAGCTTGGTTGCTCTGCGGCACCGTATGCTGCTGGTTCGGGAGGGAGGCTCATGCCTCAGCCCTTCTTCGTTTTCTGCTTTGCGCTTCTCCCCTGCGGTTTGGGAATTGAAACACAGCCCCTTCAACTCTTTTTTTCTTCTTCTACCTCTCTGCTCTTCCCCAAGAAAATTAAAAAACACTCGATTTCGACAAGCGCGATCAGCACATGCAGCGTATTTTTAGCCTCAGGTCATCTCAGGAAACACTTAGTAATGTCTGCTATTGGGCGCTTTCGGGGTTGGCTTGAGTGGCTATTTTATTTGTCTGGTCTTGGGAAGCGAGGTGTGGTTTTTGCACGTTTTTGGGTGGGTTCGTTACTTGATCCGGACGCCACCTACTGGGATGTCCTTCTTGATTTGGCTCGTGGTGTGTGGGTGGGAAGGGTTGCAGGTGGTGGAAAGTCTTGGTTTTTCCTTTTCTTTTGCGAGTATTTCGTTACCGGTAAGTTAACTGAGGACTGGGGCCCTGGGGGTGGGGGTTTCGCCCGTTGCTTTTATCCATAGTCCTCTCTTATTGCTTGGGGGGGAAAGTTAATGGCATGGTGCCGGTCACTTGAAATCAACGAAAAACCAGCACGAGAATAATGTCCGAAAATCCTTAGCCACAACCAGATCTTTGGGAAGATATGATTTGATAGAAGTGCTCAGGACGCATTCCTATCTGATTCTATGTTTTCTGATTTTCAATCAGAGTAATATTAGTGGAGGTCGTAAAATTTCCAACTGCCAATCTTCCGTTGTTACATTCGCCAAGCCCCACTATTTTGTGTGTGTTATGTAAGCAATATGAATCCCCATCTCCTCACAACGTAGACTAACTATAGAACCAATAACAAACAAT